CCAGAGTATAAGACGCACCGGAGTATAAGACGCGCCAAGATTTTGAAGAGGCAAATTTTAAAAAAAAGTTTTTTCCTCGTTTATACCTCCCCAGCCCCCAGAAGCACTGTACAAGCCTCCTAAAGGCTATGCATACCCTTTTTTGTCAAAAAACAGGCAAGTTTTCGAGAAAAACTGGCCATTTTGGGGAGGTCTGCAGAGTGCAAAAACTTTTTTTTAAAATTTGCCTCTTCAAAATCTTGGTGCGTCTTATACTCTGGTGCGTCTTATACTCCGAAAAATACAGTATAACTTGAATGAGGGAGAGGAAACTGAAGCAACCAGCCATACGTTTAAATCTGTGTGAGTGAAGTTCTTTCCTTATTCTTGGTTTACATTGAGAGCACTTAGTTTCATCCCCACATAAAATGCACATTAAAAAAAACAGTAAAAATTTGACCACACCATCATGCCTGCCGTTTAGACCTTTTTTTTTTTAACCAATCCTGTGGGTATCCTTGAATTCCAGTGCCCCTCATTATATGTTATTGAACTTTAACCTCTGCACTAGGGCTCTCTTCAGGCCATGCAGAGAGCAGATACATCATATAATAGTCATTTCGGTTCTCTTTCCTTGCCTTAAATTGGACTTCCTCAAGCTTCTAGCATCCCATTTTCCACAGAATTGACAACTTGCTAAGAATTTTACTGGTGTTGGACTAGTAATTTTTTTTACTGATCTTGGAAGGAACCAGATTGGGGAAATCAGTTGGAATGGTCTGTAAAATGTACTTCTCTGGATTAACAGAATCCCAAGGAAAAGCATAATGTTCTAGAGATCTAGGCACATACATACTTTTCAAATTACAAACCAAATTATGAGGTGTGTTTCCCTCCCCCTCCAAAAAAAAAACTAGTCACCAACCTGCTTTTCCTTTTCTCCACGTCTTCCTTAGATACAAACCTAGGCCGTCTACAAACACTTCTTTCCGTGTGATATTTCAGGTTTTTCTGTTTCATGGCTGAAAAATACCCACATAAACATCTCTCAAAACATTGAATTTGTGCCTTTAAGAATGAAAACAAAGTCTGTCTAGGATACTAGCTGGATTCTAAGAAGGTGAAACGCTAGGTTATCTACACCAGATAAGAACAATGCAGCTTTTCTTGGAACTCTTACATGTTTTGTAGGCATCGTTCTCCCTACAAAATATCAAAGGTGCTTCTGGCTCCAAAGATTATTTACCTTTATCTAAGGCATGTTAAGCCCCCTTCTGCCCACTGATCTGACTTACCAAGTTTCCAATTTGATTTTTAATTGAAAATTGGCGCAAATAAAAATCTACTCCTAAAATCAAATGGAAAGTCAAGGTGACCTAGCCTTACCTGCTTATCTCAAAACTCCTTACTATATTCAAAAATCTCTTTTATTGTTAACCAAGACATGAAAGGGTCCAAGTTGACTTATTCTCTTTCTTATACAACCCTGATTCCAAATTATATTAACGCTTTAAAGATCAAAGTTATTTGTCAAGCAAGGCCACTCAAGCAGAGACCCACAGACCTCTTTTGCTTTGCGGTTTACAAACTTGGAAGATACTATCCATGAATTTGGCCCTAGAAGATGATCCAGTACAGTTGAACCTGATTAATAGAGATGTATGATTCTCCAGCAATTTGCATGTAACAGAGAGGGCAGGTTTGGGGGGACTTTACATAACAGCTTTATCCACCTTGATCAGCTATTTTTAAGCCAGGTGCATAGTTGTTCAATCACAGTCAAGACCATTTGATTTGAGGACAAATGGCTTTTTATCACTGTGTAACCTATTCACTTTTACGACTAAAGTGGGGGCAATTTGAACATATCTTTGTGGATAATGAGTAAGGGTAAGGATCTCTGATGGCACAGTGTTTGAAGGTAGTATTGCAAGCTAATTTTGCCAATAGCCTGGAGTTCGATCCTGACAGGATTCAAGGTGGACTTCTCAGGCCTGGAAGCCATTTTTTGCATTGGGCCTTCGGGCCTGCCACATTGATTACTGTGGGAACTGGGAGGGGGATTATATGGAGTGGGGTAAATATAGTCAAAATAACATTCCTTTCTCAGAGAGTCAAGGACAGCTTGCCCTGCACCTGGGAGGCATCTTCAGTTGGAATGGTGTTTGATTGGACCATGTGATGGACCTGTGGGTGCTGGGCAGGGACTTGAACTTTCAGATTCGGGTTTTCCCAGCTGTGCCAATATGACATTTCTAATAAAATGGAACTTTGAGGAATTTCAAGCCTCAGAGTCTTCTTTCGTTAGGGGTGTTACTTGGAACCCTGACATTAACCCGAATCTTTCCATTCTTCCAGCTTTCCATCCTTCCGAAGTCAGTAAAATGAGAACCCAAATTATTAGGGGAAATATGCAAATAATGTTGACTTTGTGACCCACCCATTGTGTAAAGCACTGTGGTGCGGTGTATAAGCCTAACTCAGGGGTAGTCAACCTTTTTATACCTACCGCCCACTTTTGTATCTCTGTGTCCAGCTATAAAATGCAGA